TATTAAAGGTGATCTTTTAAACTTTTCATAATTTGAAGTTAAGGAGGAATCATATAGAATAGATAATTAAAAAGTATGTAAATGTGAAATGGTCGTTAACATAATGTTTATTTTTTGTCTTTGTTCTGTTATATTGGTTCAATAAAAAACGTTGGATGTCACAGTTACGACGCAGTGGCACAAGTTGATGATGTAATCTGTACTGTCCTGCACACTCCAACACTTGGACTGAACCACACTTCACAGCAGTAGGGTGTAGGGTGGTACTGAGCACTGGGACTGGACCTAAGTCTCTAATAGTAGAGACTTACAGTAAGTGTGACCCAAGTCGGAGTCTGGAGCCCCCCTCTCTGGTGTGGTCTGGGGTCATCTCTAAGTTTTAACCGTGACTGCTCAGTTGTTCTGAACGTGTCTGTTTCTCCTGCAGTGGTACAGCCCAGCTTCATCCATCCTCCAGAATGAGCAGTTTGTGGGTGAGGACTTGTTCATCACTCTACTAATGATCCAAGCTGAAGAACAAGTTGTTATCAACAAATAACAAATCTTTTCTTTACCAGAACCTTTCATGTCCCTGGTTCTGGTCCTCTCACACATGGACTTCAAGCTGGATGTGGAGGTCAGAATAAAACACTGTGATTTATTGTTTATTGTATAGTTGAACCATCCAACAACAGTGTTTCTGATCTTGTTGCACAGAACTGCAGTTTTTTGGATGAGAGCTGGCTGCTGCCGGTAAGAACCACAGTTTTCTGCTCTAGCTCTCCAGTTTGTTAGAAAAGTGTCTGTAGAAATAATCCAGATTGTAGAAGCTGTAATCTGTGCCTGATTGTTGGTTTCTTTTAGGTGGCAGACATGTATGAAGTGGTGCCCTGTCAGGAACTGGGTTTGGTTTTGAGGTTTGTGTTTTTAACCCCGGTGATTTCTGACACTTCACTTGCTTCRGCACCTTACTCAGTCCGTCCTCGTTCAGGTATCTCAGTGGGCGTGTCTTTGTTGTGGAGTTGACGCCTGGCAGTCAGGCCCACGTYGACCAGTTTATCACTCCTGGTGACATCATCGATGACATCAATGGGACTTCACTGAGAAATTCAAAAAATGGACAAGTGAGTTCAAGTTCAAGTTTATTTCTACAGCACCAAGTCACAACATACGTTGTCTCAGGACACTGTASATMAAAAGAACAATGTAAAGAAGAAAGCAGCAGATTGTGTTGAATCACTTCATCACAGTCTCCCATCCTGAGCAAACGGTGGAGAGGAAAAACTCCCTGCTAATCAGGAAGAAACCTCCAGCAGAACCAGGCTCAGGACAGGAGACCATCTGCCTCGAGGAAACCCTCAAACATACAGAAGACTTGGGTTAATTTAGGTGGTTTAATGATTRTGTGAATCTTTTATCAGTGTGCATTGCATTGGCAATGCACACTATTGTGATTCGTTCCCYGTCCAAGTCATCCTCTATTTCAGCACGCTTCTCCTCCTACATACTTTGTCTTAGAGCTGCCATTGTAATTTCTATCTGTAAAGCTCATGTGCCAAATGCAGGCTATGCTTTTTGGTGCCTGTACAACTTATTGTTTTTGAAATATTAATATTTAAACTTTAGTAATGGGTGTCAATACAGCCTTGTGTTGGTCCAATACTGCCCCTGATTTATGTGCTCAGCTTGGTACTGCACCATACTTTAATCATATTTAAACTCAGTACTTCAGTGATTACAATACTAATTTCTTTGTATTTTAATGTTTTATTATAACATTTTCTTGTAAGCATTTACATCTTATATAATATTGCTTTATTGTTGTAATTTATTGCAGTTTTGTGTCAACGATCGTCATTGGCAATGTTGCCTCTTTCTACACACAGAAAAAAAACTGGGACTGTGCTTTCATAGCTCCAATGGTCTCATGGTTAGTGTCATGGGCTTTCATGTGGGAGATCAAGGTTCAACACCCAGCGACACCAATTTTAACTAAAATTCTCTTCCAGCTTCATATTGTCACACAATTACCTTAATTACAAACACCTGCTGATGTGACAGGCACAAGCTGGTATAGAAAACACATTTGAACTTGGTCAAAGTTCATTCTGAAAGTCCAATGCTGCAATGACATGCTACATGGCAATGCACACTTGTTTTTACATCGTAAAAACCCATGTCTAGTTTATTTTATTTTTCAGTGTAAAATGATTGTATAACAAATAATTTTCAGGATAGTTTTTACACGAGAACTAGCTGCAAATGTTAGAATTTTCTGTGGGTTATCTCTAATCCACGCTGACTAGAATGATACAAGTTCAGRTTTATATTACTTTTACCAATTCTGTCAAGAACAGGCATCAACTGTGTCTGAGGTACAGGAACATTTAACCAAGTGTTAGTGGGGTGTATTTATATATTTTAGCCTGTATGTATATTTTTGACTGTGGATTAGACAAAGCTGCACCTAGTTCTTGTTTTTAAAAATCATCAAATATTTTCTAGTCAGTCTTTGAAAACAAAAAGTTCAAATAATTTGTCAAACTCCTAAAATAATCACATTCATGCATTTGTAAACATCTGACAATAACTATACATTTATGTTTTATTAAATAACTATTTTTTTTCTATTTGTTTTAAACATAGTGAATTTTGCTATAACATTTATAAAATTATATACAGTGGATTAGACAAAGCTGCACCTAGTTCTTGTTTTTAAAAATCATCAAATATTTTCTAGTCAGTCTTTGAAAACAAAAAGTTCAAATAATTTGTC